TAACTAGTCTAAACTACATAACACAAATGGGCGATTCCACGGTATTTGTAGCCTGATGTGTCAAAATTTTTTTTTTTATTTGATGCAATGTGTTGTATATCAAATTAAAGATAATTAAACATAGTTTATGAATATAAAGTTCTTTTTAACTAAAATTTGATATTTTTTAAAAGAATTCAAGAAATATGTTAAAAAATGAGTTTGAAAGTTGTGGACATGACAAACAAAAAGTTATTTTTTTAGGTTATTAAACCATTCAAAATGTTTAATTTAACATGAAGTTTTTAAACCCATATTAGATTCAAACAATTTAGGAGCTAAAAAAACTTCATTTTTGCCTTTGATAGATTATTAAAGGTGTTTATAGGTTTAAAATGCAGTTTTTTTATAAAAAAAATTTCAAATTATTTTTATACAGATTTTATTTACAAGTTTATAATCCTAAAATTTTATTTTCCTCTATTTATTTACTATGCTTAATCTATATCAGTCAAAAAAACCTGATGATTTTATTATTTAATATTTTAAAAAAAAAAATTAAATTTGTCATGTCTGCAACGTTGCAGACATGACTGCTTATTAGTACCTAACTGATGTAACAAAATAGTTACTAATGTAAAAAAATATTTAAAATAAAACTTTAAATAGCATAATATGGCAACACTTAATTATTTTTAAATTTGTGTTTGTAGAAGTGGCAACAGTTTTGGATATTTTAAGCACATGTCTATAGTTTACTTGCATATTCTCATTTTATTATGCAAAGTTTACTTGCATATTCTCATTTTATTATGCAAAGTTTACTTTCTCCTAGCTATATTTTAAATTAAAATTGTTTACTTTATTTTAGCATTTGTATAAATTAAAGTTGTTGTGTAAAAATTTTTGCAACCTAAAACAAGGTAACATAAGCCATGCCTTTAACTAGTACTGAAAGATCTCGTATTAGAAGACAAAAATTGAAAGCTGATCCACAAAAATATGAAGCAATGAAAACTGAAGCAAGCAGAAAAAAGAAGGAATACAGACATTCCAAAATACTTACTGAAGAGCAGAAGATCAACATAAGAGCAAAAAATAAGGAAGCACAAAAAAGATGCAGGGAAAAAAAGAAAGATGCAGAAATAATAACAGATTCACCTGGCTACACAAGCAGACAATCATTGGGTAAAGCTGTTAAAAAAATCACTAATTCACTACCAAGACCACCAAATAAGAAAATTCATGCATTGACAGATGTTATAGCCAAAATATCTCCTTTGAAAAGAAAACAAATAATTAAAAATTCAATCAAAATTAAAAGGCTGCAGCTATCTGAAATTGATCGAAAAAAAAGATGTGACAAACTTTCTGAAGAAACAGAGAAAAAAGTAAATGAATTTTTCATAAGAGATGATATAAGCAGAATGTGTCCTGGAAAGAAGGACGTAATATCCTTAAAAACAGATGTAGGGCGAGAAATACACCAAAAACGTTTTCTTATAATGAGCATCGGAGAAGCACACCAGCTTTTCCTGAGTGAAAATCCCGATTTTAGTATTGGAAAATCAAAATTTCATGAAATGCGACCAA